CATATAAAGCTTCTGCTCGCTCTGTCATCACCGAACATAGGCTACTTCATAATCACGATTTCCAATGGGACAATGTTCTAATCTTAGATGAAGAGCTTTCTTATAAAAAACGTTTGATCTCAGAAAATGCTTTACATTAAAAAACAGAAAAATAGTCTCAATCTACAAACGCTGAAGGTCTTCATAAAGCATATTTGCCTATTATAAACAAAGTTTGACTCTCGATACTGTCGACCCGTCTCCTCTCTCAGTGCGTGATTAGGTTGTTCGGAAAATAATTTCGTTTTTTTTTAATGATTTAAATGAAAGACGATTTTCTTATAGTGAATAAATATTTTATTGAATTATATATTGTCCATTCTGGTCCAATACCTTTTGCCATCTTTCTGGCAGTAGCATGATTTCACGCTCATAAAATTTTTGTTCTTTGCTGGCAAAAAACTGATCCAGATGATTTTTGACTTCCTCATTTGAAGTAAAGGTTTTACCGTCTAAAAAATTTTGTAGAGACCGGAACAAATAATAATTAGAAGGTGCCAGATCTGGAGAATATGGTGGGTGTGGCAGTATATCCCATCCAAGCTGTAAAAGCTTTTGGCGAGTTACCAAACTTGTATGAGGTCTCGCATTATCTTGGTGAAACACTACACCTTTTCTATTGATCAATTCTGGCCTTTTCTGTTTAAGTGAATCATTCAATTTGTCCAGCTGATGACAGTACACTTCAGAATTGATCGTTGTGTTGTCCGGTAGAAGCTCAAAAAAAAAAAACGATTCCTTTGAAATCCCACCAAACAGATAGCATCACCTTTTTTTGATGAATATCGGCTTTCGAAGTGCTTTGAGCTGGTTCATCTTTTTTACTCCATGATCTGTTGCGTTTAACATTGTTGTAGATAACCCATTTCTCGTCTCCAGTGATGATGCGCTTCAAAAATGGATCATTTTCTTGACGTTTGAGAAGCAAATCACAGACGTCAATGCGACGGCACAAATTTCTTTCCGAAAGAACATGAGGAACCCATATGTCGAGCTTTGAGATTAAACCTAGGCGTTTCAAATGATCATGAACGATAGAATTCGATAAATTTAATCTCTCAGCGATCTCACGAGACGTTATTCGCCGGTTTGCATCAATTAATGCCTTTATTGTGTCTTCATCAGCTTCAACTGGCCTTCCAGAACGTGGTGCATCTTCAACATCAAAATTACCGGATCGAAATTTTGCAAACCAGTTTTGGCACTGACGTTCTGTCAATACATCTTCTCCATACACATCGGATAATTTTTTTCTTGCTTGAACAGCATTTTTACCTTTTCGATAGTAAAAAAGTAAAATATGCCGAAAATGCTGCTTTTTACTTTCCATATTTGATAGGGCACCAACCAAAAACTACTGCGTAGAATCAATCGAACTTTTTTCACAAGCAAGCCTTGCTATATCAGCTGTCAAAATATGATAATAATTATGTGGCTTAAGTGTGAAGTTGGCTGTGAAAAAATACAGTCTTCTGTTGCGAAAAAACGAAATTACTTTTCGAACAACCCAATATTTAAGTTTATTTTTTCTTACGAGTTCTTTTCCTTTCCCGGTTTATCAGCTAGCACTTGGCTATGAGTCTTGACATCATTTTGACTGGCCTATCGTATGTATAATATTATGCTCCACGTCGAGATCCAACCGAATTGTACATTTTCGCGCTCTAAGATTGTTGCGACAAGAACTATTTATTTATATTTATTTATTCTTTTACTATTTTTATTATACTTACTTTATTTAACATCTGAGGAGGGCTCAATCCGGCAGCCGAAACTTGTAATGGTACCTTTTCTCCGAATATTTTTATACATTGATATACGCCGTTCTGCTTCGTTTTTTACTTTATGTATCTTTGATTAATATCTTTAATTAAATGTGTTATATTTTATGCGTTGACTCTTATTTCGCTGTTTACTTTGTTTATTTAAAACGATACTTCTACGAAAATAAACATTAAATTATTGTTTAAATTAGATTTAAAAAAAAGTAGCTTTTGATACGGAAACCGAGTCATTAAATTGTACCACTGGAGTTCTAAATCATATATCTAATCTAGCAAACAAACTGACATTATTTCATTTTGACATCAAAATAACATTTTTAACGTCAAAATAACGGCAAATAACGTTGGGTTGTTCACTGAAAAGATAAACAAAAATTAATTTTAAAACTCATTTATTAATATTTATTTTTAATTTTAAACTGAGTATAATAATCGCGCATAGCAAGAACAGAGCAGTCTTTCGTTTTAAGTGAAAATGCATTAAATAAACTGACCTAATTTCATTAAATTCGGAGGTGAGGTAGTGGTTCTAAATAAACATCGACTAAAATACGTGTAGTTACACAGCACTGCATTAAGTTGGTATATGACAGATTTCCCCTAACAGTTGTCAACTTTAACGCTTAATATCTCGTTTCGCAGTGCAGTTTTCGGCCAGGTTTTTTTTCTTTTTGTATAAAAACGCATCGAATGAGTTTACTTTCATCAAAATCGAAAATTATCACCAAAGCAGTATATTAAAATCTTATTCTTTGAAGTCCTTATATTCTTCAGAGTTTTTGGGTTATAGGTCTTTTAATAATTCTTCGCGTCCGAAGAGCTAATCAAACGTAACTTAACAATGTATGTAAGTCACGAGTAGATATGGGAGCTCGCTTGCGAAAATCATATCGTTACAATATAAAGACCAGCGAAGATTTATCCAACTCTTTCTATTTTTACAAATTTGCCAATAGCAACATAACTTACACATACTTTGCTAATTTGATGCTATATTCAAAAAAAGTTTAAATATCAATTATAACCCTGTAGTACACTATAATTCAATTACTCACCTTGTATTGATAACGCCCCTTAGGTAAACTGTACAAAAACTTCATCAGACATCGAACAAAATCAATTTTGAATGTCACTCGTAAATAAACGACTCAAAGACAAAACAAAAATGATAGTTCTTAAGCCATGTTATTAGCGTCATATCTGTGTTCTCACCTTTAAAAAAGAATGTTTAGAAAATACAATAGAGGTACGATTTAACCGTCGATACGACTTAGCCAACTCTACCCTATACATATATATATATATATATATATATATATGTATA